GACTTCACCGAGCAGTTACATAATGAGAAATTCGATTGTCAGTCATCGGGATTCAATTATTCGACGTTGTACATTAAATTTCTCTGAAGCCCCAGCATTTGCCAGGCTCGAACTCACTTTCTAATCGTTCTCATCGTATTTTGATAGGCACATACATTATTATCGTTGATTACTCCGTACTAATTCGCCGGCAGAAGAACTTGAAATATCGCATCATATTCAGACACGGTGGAAACGATTAGAAAAGAAACTAAATATTTTGGCCTTTTATTGAAACATAATTCAATGGCTGCAAAACCCCTCTGTAAAATCGAATCTCGTCAAAGCAGCAACGCGTACTACCGACTTTAGATTATTTTAATGCATGCCGCGTGACATATGTAACAATGTCCGATGCGAGCGGAAACATTATCTGGAACAATCGGCCGGAACAATGGAAGCAGGTGTCTCGCGAAATCTTCGTCGGATCCCGATTTAAAAAGTTGCCAGCCGAAAGGTGCCAGCGCGCGCGCGCTCCAACTTTTTGTTCCCCCGGCTGTTTTATGAGCAACGATAATGAAACGGCATTGAGTACACTTGGCGAGTGTATTATTTAATGAAGGTTAAAACGTGTAGCACTCTTCCGATCGGAACGTAATTACGAATGCGCGGACACGTTTGTCGGCGCGATTAACCGCATCGCGCGCGCGTTCAGCGCTACCCTCCGCGTCCCCCTTTCTCTCTTTTATAGAAACTCGCGTGCATCGGCGGCGACCGGTAGCGACGACGATGACGCCGACGGCGGCGGCGGTGCAAATTTTCTGTCGTTGTAATGTGTAACATGAGGGAGAGAATGCGAGCGAACGTGGCGAGAGAGAGAGAGAGAGAGAGAGAAAGGGTTGAAGAGAAAGAGAGAGAGAGAGAGAGAGAGAGAAAGAGAGTGGCCGGCCGAGCTCTCTCGTGTCCGACGCAAAAAAGCTACGCTCGTCAAGTTTTCTTAAGCGCGAGAGCGCGAGCACACGGCAAACTTGCCGCAAAAAAGCGAGAGCTTTTTCGCCGTGCATCGGCGCGAGCGCCGGCATCGACAGAGAACCCCTTTTTATCCCTTGTAAAATGTACAATGTCGCCTATCAGACCGCCGTGTAGTAATAACGCGCGCACGATCACGATAACAACTTCGGCCTCGCTCGGTGACGGTTGCACGTGGTGAGAGCGTTTCGTTCGTGCACGGAATAATGCTAATAAAATAATGGTGGCGATTAATTGACGAAGCGCACGCGCTACAAGGAATAACGCGATAAGCGTGATGTCGAGTGATAATTTGAAAACGACCTCTGATCAATGTTAGTTAAAGCGGCCGTCACAAAGAGTCGACGACAGAAAAGCATTTCTTTCTTCTGCGAATTATGCGCGCGAATCGGCGACTTTCGATCGGTTGCGGAATCCGCTGCAAAAAAATGGTCCGCGCAGAGCAGAAGAAGAATGCAGACCGAACCAATCGCGATCGTGTCGCTAATGTCGCCGGCAAAACACACCGGTCTCAACGTCCGCTCGAACACCTCGCTATCGATTTCTACGTTTTACCGTCCTCGCGCGTTACATGATCGATTTCCCGATTTGTAAGAGCGTCGCGAACGCTTTCCACATTTCGGCGAGATCGCATGCAAAAAGCGCGCGGGAAAAGAGATAGACAGAGAGAAAGAGAGAGAGAGAGAGAGAGAGAGGGAAAGAGATCGAGAGATCCTCTTGCAACGAGCGGCTCTTTCTGTCGCAATTTCGCCTTTCGCAGAAACGTCGCGAGCAAAACAGCGCGCTTTTTTGCCGCCTACATCGTCGCCGTCGTCGGCGGCGGTGGTCAACGCGCTTACGCGACCACGCCACCCCGAACCGGCCGCTCGTAAGAAACCAGCAAAAACGCAATGTGCAATAGTTGCGCGCCGGCCGCGCTGGCGGAAGAAACGACGAGTTTTTGCGCGACGCGCCGTTTCTTGCCGGTTCCGTGAGTCATGCCGCGCATCGCGAGTAGACAAAGCAAGACTTACACACAATGAGAACGCTTGTGATCCGGAGGCGCCCGAGTGTCGATTAGATCGACGGTATCGACCGAGTGACGCGCCGAAACCCTCGATATCGAGTACCGATCGATCGATCGATCGGTCGACGTCGAGGGCCCATTGGATGATCTCGATGGCATCGAGAGTATCCGGTGCAAAGCACGAAATATATAAATATATATATATATAAACTTCGCAGTTCCGCTCTCAACAATGTGAACAAAAGTTCGATAAAAGTGTGTTTCTCTCTGACGGATAAAACGCGTCGCGTTTTACAGCTCGTCGAGAGAGAGACACATATCTCCGGCGGGGTGAAAAAAATCTTATCTTTTTAATGATTACGTTCTCCTGCTGTTTACTAATCATTTGCTCCGCTTGCTCCGACTTTGTCACTGCGCGTCGCTGTCGGAGCTGATAGGAACGGTAAACATTTCCTGCAAAAAGCGCGGGTTACACGGGTTACGCGTCGCGTTCACCACACACACCACATGCGGAACCTGCTGCTTCCGTTAAAAATTACGTCGCTTTCGTTTTAACGCGGTCGAAAGGTAATTACCTCTCTCTCATCGAGAGAGCAGTCCGTGCCGATTCTCGAGGCGTAACGTCGCCTAAGCGGCCGGTCTGCGTCAGTTTCGCTGACCAATGGAAAATTGGGAAAATTACGAGGGAGTAATTTCGCGATGGAACGCTTCTCCGAGACACGAAGAGAGGGAAGGAGAGCGAGCGGTCCGCGCGGCGAGTCCCTGAAGAATTTCCGAAACGAGCGACGATATCGAACTCGCTCGGCTGTGTTTTTGTCGCGATGCACCGCGCGAGTCGTCGGCGGTGAAACGCCCGGAGTAGACGAAGAGCCCCGGCCGCAGTTTCGTCGAGATATGTGGAGGAAGAAAAATCATGTTTTTCTGGCGCGCGAGCTGTGCGCTTTTTGTCGCCGGCATGACTCATCCAGTTCCTCGACGAGAAAGGGAGAGAGATAGAGGGAGGGAGAGAGAAAGAAGAGGAAGGAGAAAGAGAGGCGCACACACAAAAGCGCGATAGCCCATGGTAACTCTTCGGTCGAAACTTCTTCGCTTCGCCGGGAGGTAACTGCTGGCGATTACGTTTCTTGCGTAAACTTGCTGGGACCGCTGCTGTGCGAGAACGCATTCGCCACCGAAATGCGACCCGTGCCCGCTTCTCACAGGAACGAACTCGCGGATACACGAGACGCTCGCTTGCAGTAGCGGTCGATCCGCTAAATGCGAAGAAATGAACCGAACTCGCGAAGCGCCTTATATCAAAATTCACGCGCGGCAAACGGCGATCCGGGGAGCCGCTCTCTCGCTCTTCCGTTCGACAAACGAGGCCGGCGAATACGTCCCGAGTCAGTCTGCACGCGGCTCTCCCGAGTGGGGAAAAATCTCATCCCCCCTAATTGGGGCGATTGTTTCTCGCGCGTACGTGAGAAACTGGATTGGAAAATATATTCGTGTGTACGGTATTCATGAAAAAAAAAAAAGAAAAAAAAATTAAAACCTCTCTTATATAAATACGTGTGAGAGATAAAATTAGAGAGGTACCTGTTACTTTGATTATGCATTATGCAAGTGTGAGTAGGAAGCGATCGTCAAGGGTAACGTTTATATTCGCCGGATAGGGCATTCCCAGTAGACTGGACGTAATTAAATCGACGCGCGATTTCATACCTATCAGTTCGCATGAAATCGATGGGCTGCCGCCTATAAATCGAGCGTAGGTCCGCGCGCGTGCATGCGTGCGTTACACAGTGCGTTTTCAACTAACGTAACGCAAAAAGCAGCCGAGAGACAATCGACCCGTAGGACACCTCCATCTGTGAATCGACTCGTTTTAAAACGCACCGACGTAACCGGCTTTTTTCATCGCCCAGGGCAGAGAGCGTTCATACGCATATATACGCACTTTCAAGTACCGTTTTAAACACCTTTCACACCTAAACCGGGTACGCTAACGGCCGCTTTTTGCCGTGTTTAGGCTAAAGGGTTAGGTTAGATCACCTGCAATAAACCATACTGCTGATGGTTTACGGACTTACGAGCTTCTCTATGCCGACTTTTAACGGTAAAATCGTTGACCCAGAAGACACGTCAACGGCCGGAAAATCTCAAGGAGTGTGCCGTCCGATTTTCACGTCGAAAATATTCATCTTCTTGATAAATATCTCGCACGTTCTATCCTCGTCGCACGTGTAGCATAAAATTGTAACATTGCCTTAGATATCGTTTAAATTACGAATTTCATTGCCGGAGCAAAAGACGTGGAAAAGGAGATCGCATAACACCGCGCCACCCACGCGATCCGGTGTCGTAAAGGGATGAAGAGCGAATCGCGTAAACATCACGTCAAAAGAATCGCAAAAACATAACTCCGTAAAACCGAACGAAAATTCGCCAAAACGCTGCCGCTCTCGATCCTGGTAAAGCCCGTGTCCAAGTAAGTATCGCAGGTTGAGGATTGTAATTTGGCCAGTCAGGACGAATAAAGCGAGTCAAGATCGAAATTAGCGGAATTAATTAAACTCTATCTCTATTCAACTTTCAATCCCAATTCTTTGTAGCTATACACTTTCCGAGCTATCTCGTTATCTAATCTTTCTATTTCTTCTCCTTTACACCGATTGTCGAACATGTATCTATTTCATTTATAACGCAGAAGTTTAATCTAATGCAACTATAAAGAACAGATCTCTAGGGTGACCACCAAATTGATTAATCCAATCGACAATTGAAAATTGCTGTCAGTGAAATATTATTTGTTCTATCTTGCTAACACAGATGACGATTATCAACTTTTTGATTATCGTTGAATAATAAATAGCAAAACAGACGATTGACATCAGAAATTCCGGTTATTATTCATCGGTCAGTTTTTTACTCCGATTTTGGTAAAAGTCACACCCCTGAGACTGAACTTGATCGTGACAGAAGCATTAACGTAAGACCGGCTTACGTGTGCCGTTGACGTTCCTGCTGAGTATCCTGGGCACAGGGGGGACCACGCCGGCCGGCTGCTGATGGTTGCTGGACGGGTTGCTGGCCACCACGACGACGGACGAAGGATTCTGCGGGACGCAGGCTGTGGACGCGAGCGTCGCGGCTGCTCCACCGGCAGCGGCGCCGTTACCGGTCGCCGCGGTCACAGGGTTGCTCGGCGTCGAGGGTACCGGCGACGGCGTCCCGACACCTCGCGCCGTCGCCGGGGTCTCTTCCGCGGTCGGAGCACCGACGACCACCCGCGCGACGTCCATCGCGGTCACCGGTGCTACCTGGTGCAGCAGCACCCGTTCACGGTACCGCCGCGGAGACCTTCCAGGTCGTCCAGGCGCGCCGCCGGCAGCATCCAACGAGGCGCATCCGACTGCGCTTTATCTCAACGCCCGAACTCGAGGAGAAGACCGCTGACGACGACGGGGACGGGGGAGCGCGAACGTTCGCGATTCGCAGGCAGCCGAATTTCGAAAATGGCGGCGATCCGTGCGCTACCGCGCCGCGCGAATCATCGATCTCGATCGCGCGCGCTGACACGGCTGAAGAGCGAGGGTCGCAAAGAGACGCGACTGAGATATCCCTTTCACCCGAGGTTTTCTTCCAGCGGCCGGAAAACGGAGATGCGACGGTATCAAGAGCGCGACGACTGGCGCGAAGATGTAGCGGCGAAGAGGTCGTTGCGACAGACAGACAGACGGACAGGTAGGCAGCGACGTGTTTCGAACGCTGGCGCGGCGAACATTGCGCGCGGCGCGGCAAATACGCTGCGTGTCTTTCGCGTCTCGCCCCCACTACTCGAGGAGGCGCCACTGTTCGACGACGGGAGCGCGCGCGGCACCGCCGAAAGCCCGCCGCCGGTGTATATGTGTGTATGTGTGTGCGGCGAATTTTTATTATTCGTTTTTGCGATAGTTCTTGCACCGGCAAAGGGGAAAACAGACGAAGGGAGCGACGGTAAATAGACGCGTAAGGCGCGCGATGGTAAGTCTTATACTTGTTCTATTAATATCGCTCGCAAAATCATCTTCCGTGCCGCGTATAACCTTCCTGATTATAATGTTTTTCTCTCTCTTTTTTCTTTTATCCTTTTGACAAAGTAGACTCGGATCCCCCCGTGAAAGGAATGGCACGGTCGGAAGGAAGAGCGCGGAAACTGGGACAGCCTGCGCGCCAAGGACGGTACATAGTAAACAAGAGTAATTGCGTCAGTGCTCGAGGAATGGATGTAGGCAACGAGCGTGTTTTGCTCTTGTTCGTCTTCTGCTACATGTTACATGTAATTTTAGAGCGCGTTCGCGCTCGACAACGACAGAAAATTCTCCCGGTTGCTGCCTTCGGACGCCTCGAGAGCACAGCGTCGAGAATTAGTTTGCAATCCTCGCCAATTACAGTCAATTCTCACAACGGCCGGCATTGAGGTGATTGCTCGTTAAATGTGGTCTGCAATGGGCGGCAGGCGTATGTTTGTGAGAAGAGTAAAAAATTAACCAATCATAGTCGATTATTCTCCTTACATTCGAATATGAATGATCACTTTCTTATTCTTATTTCTTATGAACATACTCCTACTGTCACATTGTAAATTAACAAACTCTCTCTCTCTTTCTCTCTCTTTCTTTCTCGAAACAGAGAGAGGATAGATTAATCTGTTACAATTTACCGTTGCGCACGACGTGTTTCAGGATCAAAGAACAAGAGTAGGCATCTACTTCTGTCTGCCATGGGGATGTTAGCATCATGCATCGGCAGCCGGTGGCCCCGTCAGAAGGGTTGAAAGTCGGTTAGGGCACACCGATCCCTCGCGAGCCATCGGATCGCGACCCAGAGGAGAGAGGGAGAGGCGTGGCCTCACGGATCGGCCGACGGTCGGCCGCATTCTGTACAGACTCCTATGCGGGCTCCACAGGAGCGACGCGAAAACCGTGACGCTCCCCTCCGTACGTCCTACGTTCTCGCCGCTTACCGGTGTCGTCGTGGTGTACATACGCTCCTCCCTGGCCCCTCGTCGCCGTCGCAAAAACGCGCCCCTGCCTCACGCCGTTCCTGCTGGCGGGAAACGGCCCGGGGGTTGGAGGGAGAACCGGGAGAAGGGGGGGATAGGACGTGTCGTAAAAACCCATCTTCCCTCGTGCCCCTTTTCCTCCCGCCTCCTTAGTCTCAGCACCGTGCAACCCTTGTAGTAGATATGTGCGCTCCGCCACCCTTCTCTCTCTCGCCGTCTCTTTGCCGCCGAGGAACCGACATTTTTGCAGGGTGGTACCCGAAACCCCCTCGACACGCGGTTCCCCTGTAAAATTCACATCCTATCCAGAATCTGTGGTCCCCCCCGCTCTACTCGTTCGTTTCTTCATGCGTGCACGTACTGGACGTTAACAGGGCGGGCGCGTGAGGGGTGAGGAAACCCGGCATGGAAAAGGTTCGCCGGTGTAATCCCTCTGATAAAATGCGAAGGCTGAGGGGAGGGCAGGAAGATCACAGGAATGACTTTCGGATATGCCGCTGGAGACGCGTCGTCGCCGCATACGTGAGTTCTTCACGAGAATTCTCGAGATCACCGGCGACATTGCAACTTGTCGGTGCAATCGTTAAACTTTGTATGTTATAGCGGCGGGCTGATGAGCGAAATCAAAGCGGGTGAAAAACGGGAATCAAAGCGAAGAAGAATGGACAATCCCCACGCTGGAAAATATTAGGTCCGTCGTGTTCACAACCATGCGAGTTAAAATCCCGTTTCAAAGCGAAGACCCCGCGAAATTAAACGAGGTATCCGATTTTATCGTTTATTCTCACGCTCGCAGTCTAACTCGCCCTTTCATCTTCGCTTTCGACCTTGAAAAATCATAATTAACGGTTTAACGTTGGATCCGGCAGTCGCAGAGTGCTCTCGTGAACGTTCTTTATCAACAAATTTCCCGGACAGCCTTCACTTGTTACGTTAGAATAACACAAAGCATTTAATTAAACGTAAAGTCGCCGGCCGTCGTCGTCTCGAGCGAGTGACCGTAAATTTTCGAAATCTCGCGTCTCTTCGCGGAATCTCAGTTTCTTTCCCGGCGCTTCTCTCTTCTCTTTCTCCACTCATCCCTTTCTTTTCACCCCCCGTCCCCCCAACCGTTCGTCGCCTCTCGCCACCGCGGGCTGCTCTTTTTCCTCCTTCGCCGACATCGCTACGATTCTTTTTGCCGCCCCCAGTTCCGCCGCCACCCCGTATTCCTGTCGTTCTTATTTTTGCCCCCGACCCTCTCGCTCATCCCGACTGCGCTTTCTCCCCTGCTGCCCCTTCCCCGGCCCCACTCCCACAACCTTTTTCCGGACCGGTAGGAAAAGCGCGAGAGACTTTTATTTTCGCACGTAGAAAAAGCAAGGCGGAAAGGGAGGTTTTGCCAGCAGACCGTTACTGCGAGGCGGACGTTTTTTGCGACAGCTCCGTAATCCGTGAAAGGGTGAGAGAGTGCCGGTAGAAACCAAAGGCGCCGCGACGCTATCTCTCTCTCTCTCTCTCATTCGCTCTCTCGCTCGCTCGTTCGTTCGCTCGCAATTTGCATAGAGCGAACGATCCGGTCGCGCTCATGAGACGCCGATCTCACCAGTACAAGATGGATATATACATCAGTTAAAATATATGATCAGATGTAGCTTTAATTTTCTTCGTTAAATGAAACTTAAATGAAATTATCCTTTCATCATGCGTATATGTATGTAACATGTAGTATCCCCGTACTTTGGTTGCTCTTAATCATTTGCTCTAAAGGGCATAAGTCGCTATATTCATTCCAAAGCGGAAACTTAATATTGCTTAACACGATTGTTTCAGAAAATAACCGCGCGATAAGCTGCAGCAAGACTGAACACAGGCATTAAAGATTAAACCTCAGGACGTATCTCTATATTGCGCACAAAAAGAAACGGGAAAGAAGCACGGATGGGCTTAACGAGGGTACGGCGGTTCCTTCTAGCTGGAAATATGCAAATTGACGGAGGAGCCTGAGAAACACTTGGAAAAGGGGTCGTGCACGATGGACAATTTTTTGACCAGGTCGTTCTTAAATACCGACGGCAGAAAAACGCAAGGAAAAAAGCGAGGGATCAGGCGAACGGTGAGCATTACTGCGCGTGAGATTCTCCGTCCGAGACGCCCGAGAGTATCGCGCAGCTGCTTTATTTCTTGTAGAAAAGTCAGACGGCTCGCGAAAAAATATCCCGAATGAAAATCCTGTTTCGACCCGGAAGACTTCGGATGCCTCCTCGAGCGCCGTCGTTCGCGCAGCGGCGTTATACTTTTTCGACGACGCTCTTCGACTTAACTCTTCGTCAAATTCGCCGGAAATGAGGTACAAAAGGGCGCAAGGAGTATAGAATGCGCTCGCGCGAATCTTCTTTCTCTCATTTATTGCGCTTCTTTTGTTTAACATGCGATATATAACGTAATTACAAGTCATATCACATACCGATACCATATCTCATCCTGCGGAAAGACGTATTAGAAGACGATACTTGAATAGGAATGACAAGTACACGATTAAACGACGGGTGTTACTCGATGCCTCGTTCTCGCTAAGTATGCGGTTTTACGTGCGAAATCTCGGGTAAAATCTCAGCATGATCGAATTTTCTCGAGATATGTAGAGATGCGTATGCACCTAGCGAGTGAATAATGAACTAACACAATGAAAGCAAACTTTCGTTGTTACATTTTGGAAAACGCATATGTCGTAACCAATCCGAATACATCATATGTTCGCTGTTTATTCGTTAGATGTGTACGCACCTTAAGAAATAGTGGTGTGTGTGTGTGTGTGTGTGTGTGTGTGTGTGTGTGTGTGTGTGTGTGTGTGTGTGTGTGTGTGTGTGTGTGTGTGTGTGTGTGTGTGTGTGTGTGTGTGTGTGTGTGTGTGTGTGTGTGTGTGTGTGTGTGTGTGTGTGTGTGTGTGTGTGTGTGTGTGTGTGTGTGTGTGTGTGTGTGTGTGTGTGTGTGTGTGTGTGTGTGTGTGTGTGTGTGTGTGTGTGTGTGTGTGTGTGTGTGTGTGTGTGTGTGTGTGTGTGTGTGTGTGTGTGTGTGTGTGTGTGTGTGTGTGTGTGTGTGTGTGTGTGTGTGTGTGTGTGTGTGTGTGTGTGTGTGTGTGTGTGTGTGTGTGTGTGTGTGTGTGTGTGTGTGTGTGTGTGTGTGTGTGTGTGTGTGTGTGTGTGTGTGTGTGTGTGTGTGTGTGTGTGTGTGTGTGTGTGTGTGTGTGTGTGTGTGTGTGTGTGTGTGTGTGTGTGTGTGTGTGTGTGTGTGTGTGTGTGTGTGTGTGTGTGTGTGTGTGTGTGTGTGTGTGTGTGTGTGTGTGTGTGTGTGTGTGTGTGTGTGTGTGTGTGTGTGTGTGTGTGTGTGTGTGTGTGTGTGTGTGTGTGTGTGTGTGTGTGTGTGTGTGTGTGTGTGTGTGTGTGTGTGTGTGTCACCTATATTAAATTACCTACTTACACACCTAACACGTACACACAAAGTTACTATAAAAATATAAGTTATCGAAATGTAAAAAAGTAACCTATGTAACTTATACCGCGATAAATGTCCAGTGACGAGGAGGTAATCGATACAAATGTAAAAGCAAATGCAAGTTTGTGCCATTATTATCAGCGTGAGACTGTTCGCGTTTGCATCTCTACGTTAGTCTCGTCTATTAAGGAGAAAAAGACAATTGCATCTTACATTCCCGGAAAATAAGCGTAAGAATTCCATCTACCTATCAACAAATAGACAACGCGACGTCAGACAGCTGTGTACGCGCAGAAACCTCCACGAAAACTCTGCATATTCTCGTAATGCATACGAATGAAAATAGAACCAGGTGAGCGTAAAATCAAGTCGAGCACACTATTATGTTAATATAGCTGCAACTTCGTTACTCGGTATCTCGACGCTCTCGGCGCTCTCATTCTCGAGATCTATTTTCATAGATCTTTCACGAATTTTTCCTCCCGAGCCTATCTCTTCATACGAATAAAGAGAATAAAGAGAGAATGAAATTTCTTGTCTAAAAATCCGGTAAATATGCAGAAAAGGTTATCCCCAACAATGTCGAGATCCACCGCTATTATGCTTCGTGTGAAATTGATTATAATTAAGTTCCGTCTCATAGCGAAACAGTACAAAGGCAATCGTGAGAAACGAAGATACCATCAATCAACTGATTCAGTTTTCTATAATTTATCTCAGTATCAAAAGACAAAATCGAGATGTGGCACGACCTTTCATGCAAATTCACTAAAAACCCTCGAAGACACAAATAAAAGTGTAAAATATAAAAGCAAATAAAATATAAAAGTATAAAGAAGAACACATTTGACGAATAATTCTCGAATTATGTAAATCGTCAACGACGGACGTCAACCTTACTCACGTTACGACTATTTTAGCATCGATTTAGCACGAAAGCTTTCTAGGAACTCGTAGGCGTTCTACTCTTAAATCTACTTTGTAATTTTACGAACAGTGTGCGTCCAATTACGCGTGGTAAGTTTACGAGAATAAAGGTAAAATCTTTAGTATACGTAATACTTTCTCGCATTTTCGCCGATCTCTTTTGAACAGACATTATTCGCGTTGCGTTAGTCTCTCTCTCTTTGTTCGTTCGTAGAGTATAAAATGCGATCGGTAAGGGTGTGCGGGTTTCCTCGCGGAGTTTCCAAGTGGCGATTAAGACGATTCTTAAGTTGAACTCAACAGAAAGATCTACTTACGATTTGAAAAACACAGAATCCCGAAACAGAGTTACTTGAAGTGCACGAATCCGATTGGCTCAACAATGATTTATCGATAATAACTTGCGACTATTTACAATTATGAAGACAAGAGCAAAAAGCTTCGTATTGAACAAACGTTTTTTTTTTCTTCTTCAATTTATGGCTCCAGCTATCCTTACGGGCATGCGTCTAACGCCACTTCACGATACTTTGTAAATTATAATAATTAGATAGCTAGTTAACTGGTTAATATAAATTACATCTGACTCTGAATCTGAAAATATATTGCAGAAGCAAATATTAAGTTGACCAATAATTCCATGCGGTTTTTGCCGATTTTAGGCATTCTGAAAAAGTCCTATCTTGAGTCCAAATCTTGGAAGCACATAGTCATAGAAAACATTTTAACATGCATTTAAAAAAGCAATGTAAAAATGGGTTGTTTTGTATGTTTGGCATCATTTTAAAGATGGATAATCAAAATGAGCATTTTCAGCGTATCATGCTTATTTATTTAAAAAAACGGCAAAACGCGACAAAAAAACTGTAAAAAAATATGTGCGGTACATGGCGAGGATGTCGAAGAACGCGTGTGCTAGAAATGGCTTACGAGATTTCATTTCGAAGATTTTTCTGTCCAAGACGGAAAAATCTCAGCAAACCTGTCAAAAATGATTGGAACCGGACTGGAATGTCTCACCGCATTCTCCATATTTATCTTGACCTTGACCCTTCAAATTATTACCCTTTTCGTCCCCTTCATAATTCCTTGAACGGGCAGCGCCCCGAGGAAGCCATCAAATGGTATTTGAAATAGTTTTTCGCCGAGAAAAACAGGAAGTTCTTTGAACAAAGATTTATGAAGCTGTCCGAAAAATGGCAAAAAATAGTGGGTTACAATGGTCAATACATTCTCGACTCAAGTTATTGTCTTCTATAAAAAAAGAAAAAAAATCGTCTTCTATTCACAGGTAAAAAAAATTGCACGGAATTATTGGCTAACCCAATATTTCAAACAAATATTCAGTTTTCTAAAAAAAGTTTTTATTTGTAAACAATTGAATTATCAAACACGTGCAAACCCGCGCAACCTAGCGATTGATTTAGAGTTACGTTCGAAGTTACGATATATATATATGTGTATAAAGACGCCCTATTTCTTTTCTCGGATATACTAATGGAAGCATCGTGTTCGGGCAGTGTGTGAGGGTGTTCGCTTATACACAACCGTATTCGTACCATATCGGACTTCCAGTCTTTGGCTCTTTGTCGGCGGGCGGTTCCGCGAGTGTTTCTTCCTGCGCCGCGTCCTTCATCGGAGTACCGGCAACACTCTTGGACTCGTTTATGACCGCCGACACTTTGTTGTAGATTAAAAAGGGGCGCGACTCCACCTGCGTTTCCGACTTCAAATTCGACTCCATCTGCGCAGCGTGGTGGTTGTCGTCCCCTTGCTCTTGGTAGGATTCGCCCAGCAATCTGTCCGCCTGCGTTTCGAGAATTTTCTCGGTAAATATCGCGTTCTTCGCGACACGACCGATCTCGTCGCCATTGTCGAGGTGTTTCTTACCGGCAAGGAAGTGGACGACGGCGGAGAATCGTCGGTGTAGTACACCGTTCTTCTGGTCCCGGCGTGTCCAAGCGCGTCTGACCCGAGAATCCTGCTTGGTCCTGAAGATAGTGCACAGAAATAGATTACATACTGTCAAGGTCAAATTCGGCTGTTTTTGTAGCGAATAATTTACCAGGTAAACGGTAATCATCGGTACTAGCGTCCGAGTCGTTCCCTGCCGTATCCGATTCATAGGTCTTACTGTCAGACTGCTTGGAATCTTCGGCCCACGAACGTCGATTCTGATAGAGAAATATTTTGCATTTGTCGCATCGATTAATTCATTCGGCAACATCGTAGTTGATAGTACTTGTGTACCGTACGGAGAGTGTGTGAAATCCGTACAATCGATACAAGCAAAAACGCTTATGTGTAGAAAATGTGTCTTATGATGTAAAGTAAATAAAGTATAGAGAGATAAATATTGTACAGAGTGAACAGGAATTTGTACATGGATATATAAAATATCGTTTCGTCTTGATTTGTTGGTAGTGTGTTTAAAATAACCTGTAGCGATTTTTATTGTTATACAAAGTGAACACAAAGTAGACTAGATTTGAGAAATAGGTGTAAAAAGTGTGGATAAAGTATGTGGGTGTTCTTCGTGAGTCCAAAGTGATCCATGAGTGTATGCTTGCATGATTCTTTTATCCCTTATTATTACTGTTATCTATAGTCACCTTATTGAGGAGCTCCGACCCGGCTTTCCTGACTCTGCGAACTAAATTGGCTCCGAAACTTTTCCTGTTTTAAAAACAAAAACGCGCACGTGGAGAAGAGAATTGTTACAAGAATACTTGTATCTTTAAACAAAATGTGAACTGTGGAAAATCAAACGTAGATTATAAAATTAAATTCTTGTGAAACGTACTTTTTGGTAGTGCAGCTATTAAGTTTCCTGTAGTGCTCCATAATTTTGTCTTCCAATTTCTCCTTCTGTCTGTACAGCTGATTAACTTTATCCCTGCAATACACACAATCACACATCATATATTCTTTGGATACACCGTAAAATAAATAACTCGCAAATAAGAACACATCGTTGCGACTAACGCGTAAAAATTTCTACTAGGCCGATATACTAACGTGAACATTTTCTCTTCCATATGGTAATGTTCCTTGTCCTGAAGCGAATGCGTCAGAAGTTCGTGATATTGCGTAAACAGCAAACTTATGTGCTCCATCAAGGAACGCCTGTCGTTATCCAATCCAGAGTTCATCTCTAACAGCATCTTAAAGAGAAGAAAAAGCATCAGTTTGACATGTGAGATCGTTGATGAAACTTGCTTTACGTCGTTGTGCAATTGCAGCAGTACCTCACATCGTTCGTTAAGGTGGTTGACTTCAGCCTCCAAGTCCGAGCACCGTTCGTTCTTAATACTCAGCTCTCCCTGCATCTCAGTCTGCTTTAAGCTCAAGCGATTCACCTCGATTTTATTCTTCCTGTAATCTTCCTGCAAGTTCCTATATTCCGCCTTCAATCTTTCGCTCGCGGTGTACAGATTTCTGAAGTCATCCTGAAACACGTGCAGCGCATTGTAGAATCTCGCTTGCGCCGGCGAAATTCAAGAGTGAAACTGGAAATGATCTAGTAATTGTGTACAAGGTACCTTCAATTTCGAGTGCTCTCCTCGGAGATTGTTCAAGCTCCTCGTGTTGTTGACGAAAGCTTCTCGTTCGGACTGCAACGCTTCGCTCTTCGTCTCCAGCCGCTCGATGCTCTCGCGCAACGTTCTGTTCTCGTTTCTCGCGTCTCTCAGACTCGACTTGAGGGAGTCTCGTTCGCGCAGCAGAATTTCGTACTCGTTGTTCAGCTGTTCGTGCAACGACTGCATGGTGTTCTGGTCGCGAAGCAACGCAGAATGCACGTGCTGCTGCGTGTTGCGTTCCTTCAGGAGCTGGATTTACGCGGAACAGTTACAGTTGACAATCGACGAGATGAAAGTGCGATACGAAAAGTTCGAAATCGCGGGATTATAGGCGCAAGAACGGTGATACCTCTTCTTTTTCCGCGACAAGCTGCGAATTCGCCAGCTGCAGAGCGGTGTGCTGCGCGTTTAACGAATTGGTTTGCGACTGCAACGTTGTGATGTGAACTTGAAGCTTCGCGTTTTCGGACAGCAAGTGCTCCGAGGCTGTTTGAGACATGGACGATTTCATCTGCAGTTGTTCCACCTCGCGCTGAAAACAGATAATTAAGTTCACCACAGAACGTAGACCACGTGTTCCTCCAATGTGTAAATACCTTTAAAGGTTCTATTATAGCTTCCAGGGTTTTGTTCAGCTCATCGTTGCTCTCCTTTTCCGTGGACTCGGACGCCGCTTTTTCGTTGCAGCTCTCCTCTGAGAAAGCTGACTTCTTCACATAATCTACTACTTCCGGTAATTGGGAAATTCTGCAATAATTCATATGCGTAATCGCAGGAACCGAGAAGATTAATTTGTCTCTCTGGATATTTTTCTTCGTCTTTATCCATACCTCTCCAATATCGTCTCCAAAGGTAAGGTTAACAATATATTGTCACTAAGGCCGAGCTTTTCTAAAATCGTGCACAACTGCTGATTGCTTCGTTTCTCCGCGACGAGATTGGATTGAAGTATCTCTAAAGTTTCCCTGTCAATTGCAGCTCGAGAATCGAGTTCTTTGCTGCTTCGCTCGATTTCTTGCAATCTACACTCAATAAGAACGATTTTGATGAAATTATCAAGAATGAGATTATTTAATATATAACGATGAATTTCTTCACAGACGCACACACACATACCTGGATATTTGTGCGACGCAATCCTGCAACTCCTGCTCGAGTTGCAGCACTTTCCTCTCCAAGACTTCGATCGTGTTTGTTGCTTTATCTAAGGCCACATCTTTTTTCTGGAATATCACGCGAAGATGTATATTTATAACTTCATAGACACGAGAAAATAATTACCTCGATCGTTTCTCTGCATTTGTATAGATCACGTTGGGCGGCGTCCTTCTCTTTCTCCGTCGCCGTTAGCCTCGACTCGAGATCAAGACACTTGGAATTAACCTCACTGACAGTGTTCTCGACGACTTTCAATTCCTCGACCTTTTGACTCGTTGTCTCCAGGGTGCGTTCCAAGTCGTCAGCACGTCGTCGCACACTCTCCAGTAACAACTGAACACGTTGTTTCTCTTTCACTGCTGTGTCGTAACTTTTTTCTACCTCTATCATTTTCATGTGATAGGTCTAAATGCAGCAAAAAATATATATAAAATGATAAAAAAAAAACAACAAAAATCCATGCATTAAAGCAAAATAAATTGAGGCGAAGTACGACTCGTGCGCAACATACTTGCAGTTCTTGTTGTTGTTTCTCGGAGGAAACACGTTGATTCTTGAGATTGTTTTGAAGCTTCTTGTTCTCTTCCAACGCTTGCTTGCAAACCAACTCCAAGTCAGAGTTTTGTTGCGTGAGCCTCTCATTATTGTCGTTCAGTGATTCGATCTTCAACGAAAGCTTCTTCTTTTCCTTTTCCAACTCCAGAACGTGTGACGAATTCTCGTGAAAGGAAGTCTCCTTCATCGAATCGATCAGCGTACTTAAACGGCGATTTTCCAATTCCAATTTTAACGCTCTCCTCTCGGCATTGCTCGTTAATTGTTCGGACAGTCTGTTCTCGTCGGGCACTAAGGAAGGAAAAAATATTCAAAACGTTTGCTTCTCTTCAATTTCCAGAAAAGACGACAGATTTTTCACTACATCGTGACAAATCTAAAAAGGTAATTCAGAAAGTTACCTGGTTCTTCGGAATCACTGGATCCAGCTAAAGCAGCCTCGTTGGCAGCGGCTTTCGTTATTTGATGCAATTGAGTATTCTCCTCGACGAGCTCTTGATACTTCTCTTTGTCGGCTGCACGTTCCTGAAAATGATCGTAAAGTAGCTGTTAAGTTGTCTTATCGAATTTGCAACGTTAATATTTGATTCTTGGAGTCCTCTTACCAATGCCATGTCGTTAAGTAACTGTTTGTATTTTATGATTTCAGATTCAAGCTCCAGTACTTTGTCCGCTCTGTTTCTCGACGAATTCAACTGTTCTTCAAGCATCTCTCTAGTCTCCATTAGAACCCTTAAATGTATCACAACCATTTGGTCACGATTATTTTTCTCATTTGATTGCCCGAGTATATGAATAAGAAACGTTAATGTATCACCTATTGTCCTCGCGCAATTCTTCTATCCGAGTTTTATAAAATTCAATGTCCGTGAGCTTCTCCCTGTATCGTGCAACCTCTATTTCTAAACGATCCGCTCGTTCCGCCCTCTCGATCACGGCGTCTAACTCGTCCCTGTAGGATTTGGCAGCGCGAGCCTCGTGCATCAATTCTTGATTCTGAAATTACCAATTTCCTATAAGTTACACATTCCCTATGAGAACGCGAGTTGAGATACACAGTACCTCTTGCCTCAGTTTAACCAGCAACGCCTTGTTATGCTCCAGCTCCTCCTTACACTCGAGCAAAGCCTCCGTTTTTTCCTCTCTGCAAATATACCGTAAGCACGGAACAAGCTATAACGTGAGACGGCGCAAAGAATGAAAATACTTACAGTTCCTGACGTTGTTTCCGAACCTTAGACTTCCAATCGGCCAATTCAACCGCATAGTGATAATTATCTTCCCTTTCGGCTTTAGCGACAGGATGAGATTGTTGCACTTTGATTATCTCCTCAGACGCACTGCTGGAGGATTCATTTCGCTCGACGCTATCATCCAACGCTGCGTCTCTCCATTTCTGTTTAGTTATTTTTTTTTTTTTAGGAAGATGACATTATCAGAAGAAGTAGACATGTTTGAGGCAATGATTACCGGTTATCCGTTACAAGCAATCGTGAGATTGACAGAGTAACGTACCTCCCGATAGAAATCCAATTCTTGAGTCCACTTTTTTATCTGAACAAACAGGTAACCCATGTTTGCGCTCGCCATAGCATCTTGCGTAATGACTATGTCTTGGTGATCTGTAATCTGAGTATATTGTACAAAAATTTATATAATATATACGATTTTACATTTATATATAGAATTACATCGGTAATCTTATCATTGATGTTTCGAAGACAGTACCTGTTTGATACAGTCCACTATCGCAAGTTGAGTATCAAGATGTAATGTTTTTATCTTGCCGATGAACTTCTCCTGATTCGGACACTGAACGGCGCATCCGAGCAATAACAATAGCAACAATTTCATATCAGCTATATACAATTCAGGCTCTTTCCCTAAATTTGCGATGTCTGGTAACTTTAAAATCAAATTGTCCATCTCCTCCTCGTAGAATTGTTTTATGTTTTGTACTATAGTCCTCAAGTTTTTTGTACGAATAACAGGATTGCCATCGGAAGGTACAACTTCATCGTGCAGCGGCTCCGGATTGCTGTGGAATGTCAAGAACACTTTTCTGTCTCCCAAGTCATACCATCTTAATGGTCAACCGTCACAGTGACAGCTGTCGCATAAACACAGTAGTTTCCTGTCATGTAGAAGATTTACATTTGCGGAAAAGACTTACATTTGCAAGAAGACATTGTGCAGTAAGACACCGTCCACTAGGTCCTCATAATTTGCCAATGAATCAGGATCTTCCAGGCAGCTGACGACCTATGAGATGCATCAATCAGCACGTCTTGCAATTTCTAACAGGCCGGCGAAAGTATCTGAACAATCTCCGAGAGGACTCACCCAAGTGACCAACGGTCCGGCCAATAAATCGTCGATTTCCGAGGACGCCATCTTCACTGTACTTCGTTCGGGATAACGGTGCGATTATCATCTGCAAGTTGACATTTTGTTCCCACGGCGAAAGCACCGTAAAGGAATCAACGGTCGCCGTCGTCTCGCCGACCAGCCACTCGCGCGCCTTCTTTCTCACCGCCCTGTGAATCCGACCCGATTCACACCCACCGTCTCCCTCGAGCGCGAAGTCGTGCGCTTCTCGCAACTCAACGCCGCTTACGTTCGCATCGTTGTATGATCGCGAGATCGCGCGACGTCTTAACAACTGCACAGCGACTCAGCTGGGGGAAATAAGAGCGCGTTCAAGTGCTTCGTGCGATAACGCGTTCACCGCTCGCGCGAGAAGTCTCGTACTTGCCGGACGAGTGTTGACTTCTCGACCCGTCCGCACTCACTCCACCGATTCGATTTGGGTCCTCGCGATCCCGACAGCTGATTGTCCTCGCAATAAAAGCAGCGAGACCACGAAGAAGAACGCGAGCATCCAACAAACCGAAACCAACCAAAACTAATTGTTATGATTCGGGCCGGGACTATCGCGCACGCGCATACGCCATGCCAGTGAAGAGATCGATCGATGAAACGAGGGGTGTCCTTTGGCTCCCCCGGTTCGTTTCTTTGTCCCGAAAGATTATTCAGAAAATATTTTCATGCTCCGTAAGTTCAAGTGCCGAGGAGCTGAAATTAACCTGCCATAAATAAAATACTAATTTCTGCTTCAGTCCAATTCAATTGTTAACTGCTGTGTTACACAAAAGCACCCTTATATACAGACTGATGTCTGGTTTCACCATCACAGTTCGTCAATGTAATTGGTTTAAATTCAGAGATCTAATATAAGTAAAGGCTAGGACAAAATCATCGATGTTCGAAAAATATCGATGTTCGTTTATTGAGGATGGTATTACATTTAGGGGAAATGTTAGGGACCTCAGAAATTCTCTATTCGACAGCCAATCGGCACATCCGACGAACTCGTGCGACGCATCCTCAATGAGCGAACCTCGATGCTCTTCAAATATTTTCGCAATCATGTATTTTGGCTGAGTTAGCAGGTCTATTTTGCAAATATCTATGGATCGCGCTTTCGTGCAGATAGACCTATCTCAAGTACCGCAGTGTGTGTCGTTCGCTTTTTACGTGAACTGTCTCGCGGGAAGATGGCAGCCGTTGGGAATAAAGCGTTCTCTCACGACGGTCAATATTACGCTTTCTGTGGTCCCGATGGCGCTTTGAGGATTTGGGAGACCACGTCCGGCCGATTGAAACATGTTCACACGCCCAATGCACACCTGGCGTCGCCGTGCAACGTCATACAATGGATCTCCGAGACTTCGCAATCGACGGACACCACATTGGTAGGTTATGGTCGCGCCATGTGCTTCTATCGCCGCTGTGGCTGTCGCGCTCTCTCTGCTCTTCTTTTTGCTTTATTTACATACTCGTCACACATGTCACTCGTCGAATATCCTGAAAATGCCCAAATGCCCAAATGTTTATCTCATTCGTAATATCCCCTTCAGAAGTATTAAGTTAACTCGAAAGAGTTAGGTTACGTACATCGTACATTCGTCAGCGATTTATTTATAAATCGTATTACATTGTCTATCTTGCTATCCTTACTCTCGTGAGACAAAGTCGACATTTTATCTCACTTGGATTTGACAAAATTGGTCTATGAATGCCAGCATATGGGATTATATCGTACATATACAATTTCTCCCCATTAGCTTAACATAATGAGCAAAGAAAGAACACTTTAGAAGTGTTTTTATTTTCTTGATATCGTAATAATGGGAAGTTCTTTTTATACCTCAAGCCATTACCAGGGAAGCGGCGCAGAAAAAAATCAGTTTCGGAGGATGGCAATAATAAGGTTGTGGCTATGGGATTGTCGGATGGGAATGTTATATTGTATAACATAGCATCAACATCCGCTACCATATTGAAGAATGACAGTACCGCAGCTTGCACAGCGATAACTTGGTCAACCTACAGTGGTCTATTCACAGCCTCAGATGATTATCATCTGATAGAATGGAATATTCCGGAGAAGGGAATCAAGTGCAAGTGGAAATCGGGCAAATCAAAAGTCACAGCACTGGCGGTCTCAATGGACGGGAAGTCTCTGTTGTCCGCAGAAAGAATAATCAAGTGGTGGGATTTAGCAACGAGACAATTGATTCGTACATTTACCGGACATGTTAACCCAATTACCATTCTTCATCCTCTTAAAGTAGATACAACTAGCTACCTGATCAGCAGTTCTCGTTCGGATAGCAGTCTTTGCGTATGGCCATTGGATAAGGTACAATTCATCCTGTTTCTCATATATTCATTATATATTCTCATTATATACTCATTATAAATTCATTATTATTCTGTGTAAAGAATAACATAGATGTAAAGGACAAAACATTTTTAATATTCAATTTCCGATAAGCTTCAAAAGATCTTCTAATTTTATATTTAGCTACCAATTTATCAACCAAAATTAAACTACCAAACAACATTCAGCTATTAATTATGAAACAAAATTTTGTAACTTTATATTCAGCTATTTTCTTTTGAAAGAAGGAATGGTATTGGAGTAAATGATAGTTTTTGTACATATTCTTCCATGAAGACCATCTTGAATTTAACTGAAACGAATCTGTTGTTGACATTTTATATAACAGTTGCAATTCACTTTATATAGTTCCATTACAACACAAAGATGACTTTATAGTACGCATTTCGTTTTTGCAGTTAGTTAATCGACATGTCTCACATCACTTCACTTTAAATCTATTTAGCATAGAAACGATAAGTCGCCGGCGACATTGTTGTGTCTGCAAGATGAAGCTTCGTTCATATCGACGCTTGTCGCAGAGGAATCACAAGTCATCGTGTTAGTTACTACAAGATTGGGTAAAGCCCAGCTGTTCAAGTACCAACCGAATGGTCGTACGAAACCATTGAAACCGTCTCTTGATGTCACTATCGTCTCAGAAACCTATCCAAAAGAGATCCTTATCCTAGCGGGTCATTTGACCGACGACGAGAAGTTACTGTTGGCATATGGCGATCATTTGAACTTATGGCTCGAGAAGGTTGAGCCGGATTTCTCTGACAAAGTGCAATGTTTAACCAGAATGCTCAAGAAGAAACCGAAAGAGAGGACAATATATGAGATTCTCAAACAGATGCCTGTTGAGACGGATAATGCCCATTATGTTTATCATGGTAACGTAATCACACGGATTTGTTTTCTACTATATTCAAGAATTGTTTCTCTAGAAAAATTGCTACATATTTCTCAATATCCTTCTATATTATATATTTTTGCTCGGCATTAGTTAAAAAGTCTTACAATCACTCGCTTATGACAATTATCGTAATTTGAAACTGTTACAGCGGATGGCGAAGATGAAACAGTGAAGAAAAGGAAGATTATAGAGGACGGTTCTCAGACACTGAAAGATCGATTGGAGAATCTTAGCTTGAATGCGGACGCGAACACGTCAGGTATTTCACCGATGAAAGGAGGGAACAGGTCGCAGTTGTTGATACAGGCATTAAACATCAATGACAAAAACATCCTGTCCACGGTGTTGTTCACGAAAGACGAAAACGTGATTCGCAATACCGTCGTAAACTTGCCGTTGCAGGCGATAACGCCATTGTTCCAAGAGTTATCCGTCATGTTGCAAGGCAAAACATATACGTAATTATATTATTGTTTCTTTTTTATTTCATAAGTGTTCCCTTCTTTTCTACTATATGAGAATTCTTGGTTCCTTTTTTCTGGGATAAAGCTTATATATTATCTTGCAAATTAAAGACGATTTATTATAATGTTCCCGTTTAGATGCCAAATCGCGACAAGATGGCTGCAGGCTTTAATCAAGAGTCACGCGGCACATCTGTCGTCGCGGCCGGACTTCAGGGACATACTTGGTCCTGTTAAGCATTTCATCGAAGAAAAATTGTTACTTCTCTCGGACGTGCAGAAATTAAAAGGCAGAATTTCTCTTATAACAGAACAGATATCTCAGACCCAGGAGGAACAGGAGAAGTACATAAACCAGGAAGCCTTGATTGTTTATCAGGATCCAGGTCAGTGGATCACCGATACGTTGAGATATTCGTTTCTTCCTTGGGACATAATTTTCAACGTTCCACAAAATTTAGTTGAATTGAAGGTTGATATGATTAAGCCGCATCGTCGGAAATGTTTGCTCAGGTCCAGCGGATGAGGCTCTCGATATGGACGACGTTGAATCTAGCAGCGATTCCGACGACAATTGGGAGGAAATGTCGGAGCAGAACGAGGAGACCGAGCAGTACGAGGAAAACGAGCAGTACGAGGAAAACGAGCAGGAAGACGAAGAGGGTATGAAAGATGTCGAGTCCGACACTGATCACAGCGCGGATAGCGACGACGCTATAGGTGATACATAGAATCGTCATGTCGCGTCGAAATTTTCATACTACATACATAAAAAGTGTACGAGTTTCTGTAAGACATTCTCGGTCTCGTTTTCGCGATGCGAAGAGACAAAAATTGACGACGACGCTAATCATAGTATCAAAACACTTGATGGAAATATACTTTGGAAGCGTTACAAGTGCGCGCTGTTTTTGAGCATTCCTGCTTAATCATTTGACACTTCGAAATGATCAATTGTGTTTGTTACACGTGTTAAATATATCGTTATATATATTTTACGCAGTCTCTCTTAATACCTTGACGCCGAATATTTTCATTTTGTACTTCAGTTTGGTTTTCAAAATCAGAGACGATAATAATTAAATTTTAAATCATACTTCTCGAAATGATTTTATACTAATTTATACTAATAAAAGTACAGAAACCTCGCATGTCGCTGCCCTAGTCATTGCCTATAACACAAAAGAAGTAAATAATCGTGATATTTGAAAAGGATGGATTATTAGAGATTTGCCGTGAAAAACATGGCAGGTTTAATTCGATTGAGGACAAAAATCGATACAGACAAAAAGTGAAAAGCGATACTGTACAATACACTCAGTGTGGAAATTCTTCCTTTTCAAATAAAACTTGCGAAAGTACCTATAGGAGAGATAGAGCGATGTCACATCACAATGGTGCTGTGAATCCGTCATGAACGTGGGTTCAACTTTCGAGAGTGAAACGAACCACTTCTGTAAAATACCTCAACTGACTTTATTTTTATGACCTACATTGATAGTACTGTAATGAATGAACATACATTCATCCGCGGGTGTCCAGGGTGAAAAGTGCACACGGCACGCCAAGAAGTAGTCCACGCGAATTACGAGTCTCTCTTTTCGTCGTTTGTTACCTCGTTTCGACGAAGAATCAATCGTGGACGACAGCGTCTCTAACCAAGACCGCTAGTAACATTTACAATTGCCTCGAACGCGCCTCTAAAATTCATAAAAATATTCACTCTCACATTTAAGTATTTGCTTTTAGGATATATAAGTAGTAGAGTGCCAGCGCCACGCCCGTAAAAGGACACTTTTCACCTAGGACATTAGATAAACGGTACTTGCGTTCTGCGTCCGTCCGTCTGTGTATGTGTGTATGTGTGTTGGTCGTGCAATTAACGATTGTTCCTATCTAAGAGTACAAGGAAAGAATACTGCGTTTCGTCATGTCACATGCACGATATATCTCGTTCTCGCTTTCTTTTTCTCCTTTCATCGCGGTAAAAAAAATAGTTGGCATATAAGCGCTGCCTTCGACATGACAGCATTTCTTCTTTTATGTCTTTTTGCGCTCTCCCCTTCTCTCTTTTTTCTTCCTCCTTTCTCCTTTACGGACAATTTATGTCGAACTGAAATGTATTCAAAGGTCACAGCACACCTGGAGGGAATTGGACTTGTAAGATCGCTCGACAGTCCCGTAAAGTTCTTTGGTACTCGACACACACATTTTTCAACGTTGTACTCTTAGATACTGCTAATGTGATGCGCGAGTCATTGAATCACAAGTCAGAGGCATGCGCGGACTCAATTCGCAAAAATAACGACGAATCGTATTCGATAATTCCAAGTTAAAAACAAATTACAATATAAACATACGAAGATCAGAGGTGATACGATTAGTTTAGGAATCGTTATTATCGTTCAACTCTCTTATTGCACCGAACTGATGTCTTTCGTGGGATCGGCGGCGCCGACAGCTCTATATGGCCGATCAGCGTCGAACGATGTGCTGTCGATGCGACCGACCCAATAGCTACTTTTCTCTCTCTCCCTCTCTCTTCCTCTCGCGATGTGTGCGCGACCGAAGTGCGAGAATCGTATAGAACTGAAGCTTGCCGAATCCGGCGATCCGGCCACGCGTTTGCGCAAGCAAGAGACAAGTGTCACCGCCGTCAGAGCGAGTTAAGCGGAGTCTCACGAGGATGAGGTACACGTTAGTTTAGTTCGCGATCGTCGATCCGCCGACTGCTACGATGCCGATCGTTCTTCTTCATTGCATATTCGTTTCTTTTCCCGCTTGCCACAACGTTCCTTAGACCGGACTCGAGCGTAAAAATCATCATGATAACATTAATAATCAACCGTGTTAGATAATAATAAACATTTAACATGTAGCGGACCATTATCACCACGTGGATGATGACGTTGCCACCGTACGTTTCAGGACGAAACGTGCTCGAGCATCGTCCCTTGCGCGAAATTCGATTCGATCGCGAAGATGAAGCCCCGGAGAGTCGCGCACCGAGCGAGCGAACGAGCGTTCGTTCACTATTCGCACCTGTATACTTCCTCCGATATCTCAGCAACTTAGGAATAGTCTTTTCTCCCTCACGTCGCTCGAGCTTCTTCGGGACTCGCACGTTCCTCTCACACATTCAGCTGCTTGAAGTAATGCCTGCAGTACACCGACATCGTCGTCGGCGGTGCGTCGATCTTATGCAATAATTTCTCCTCATTCTCGGAGAACTTCTCCAACGATAAACTGTATTCCCTATCGAAGACACCTGTGATACGAGCGTTGACATTACTGACGTAATCTCACAACGTTTCCCGGGATATCCGATATATAAATGTCTTTTTATCGTAATCTTCTCGAGATTGTGGGCGATTAATCATTCCTCGATCTTAATCTCTTTATAATTACTCTTCTTTTAATATATCTTTATGACCGATATTTTTTTTCAATCTTAATCCTTTTATAAGATTACGTAAATCATTATTCGACCGTTTGATCGCACAACTTTGCCTACCTTGGTCAATGTTCGTCCTGCCTAATACCGTAAATGCCAGGAACAGGACATCCCTATATATAGAAAATGGATGATCGCCTGTTTGATGTTTACTTCTTTCTAAGGCCACTCTTACTATAGGTTCCGCTAAGTCGTTGCAACGGACGTACGTTATTATCGTTTGCATCAGTCTGGAATGATAAATGGAATGTTAATACGATTAACAATCGTCTCGTGTACATTTCTTCCGTGTAAAAATGAATAATAATAATGTTGTTTAATTAATGACAGTTTTGTCACTCGGAGCCATTCAGCCGTTTTTTTCGATTACTAACATTTGTTAAACATTAATGCATAGTTGATATATTAATGTGTATGGTAAATATTTTACACCAACTGCGCGTGGAAACTCAGTTTTCGAACAAGAACACGTCGTATTACACTGCGCCTCACTGTGCAAAGTACTTGTTGGAACGTAATTTAGTTATGATTCTTGCGACAGGTTTAAAAAATTTAACCATGAATTTCTCTTAGTGAGTAATGTGAAACATTACTCATAACATTTGAACAAATAGGCAATTTTTTGAAATGTTAGTGACTATTGTGTCGAGCATAGTGTCCTCCGCGTTTCTTGCTGGAAAACAGCCGAAGTCTAAGTGAATCCAGCTTGTCGGACGATCTGCGAGAACTTACGTTCTGTCCTCCGTAGAATTCAGTTTCCACTGGAGGTACATGGGCAAGCGATCCATGTGCAGTCGTTCGTTGTCCCACATGGTTCTCACACCCACCGATCCCACGACTCTCCGCAGCTCCGTGTTCTTGTCGCTGTTTAGCCAGAGATCAGGCAGATGACTCGTTAAATTGACCCTCTCGAAGTACCATATTAGATTCCAATAGACTATCGGATGTTCTTGGATGAACCTGTGCTTGGTGAGGCAGGCGTCGCCCTCCTGACTCAGCACACTCTCCAGTTCTTTCCTCAGAACCAATGGATTCAGATACGGCACTGTTATCGGTTCCAACGACTCTTTCGGTTGGTCCAACAACTCCACCAACGCTCCCATTAGAGGGTCATTGGTCTTTCCGCTCGCTTCGCACCTATACATGAACAGACGTGTTCTTAATACTAGTTGTTTTCGAGAAGCACTTGCGTTCGTTACAAAGCCGCTTTCGTTACCTGTAATCTAATATGGTAACTGTGAGGAGAGGCACGGTGGCCTTGTCGCAGTATTGGCAAACCGTGTTCAAGTTGGAGTCCTCAGGCTGCCAGCCGGCCATTATCTCCTCGTCATACAGGATAGCGGCGCAATGATGGCATCTGCTGGCGCTGGAGAGCACAAGCTCGATGGCAAGACGTTCCTCCAATTCTCTAGTGCCTTTTGGATACAAGCACTCCGCAAGCTCGTACAACGAACATAGATCTAAGTTCCCATCACCTGTTGGAGCCGAGGAAAGATCATCAGAAGAGACTATCGCACGAACGAGTGTGATTCCTCTCGTTCGTAAGCCGTACTATGTATAGTTAGTTAATAAAAAAAACTTTTCTCTCAACGAATTTCGCACCCGTAATTAGAAAAATTTGTTGTCGAATAATTCTCAAAGGATTATTTTCTCTATTACGATACTTGATGCGTTCGTCTGACGTTAAAGCTTATCGAGGGATAAATGTTACAGTCGTTTTTGTCACTGACTGATACCTGGCGCTCTGGTGGAGACTTCGTTTCGATCTTGCAAGGACTCGGTGAGCGAATCCAAAGACTCGTGCGACACCCCGTAAGCTAGCTTTTGTTCGCGCTCTTTGTTCTTTACCGGCGTGCTCGTCGCCGAAATGGCTTCCTTGATCTCGTCGAACTTTTTCGCGACAGTCGTCGCGGCGGACTTCAAGCTATTTAGACCGCCGAGTATTATCTCGTTGGATTTCTTTCCTGTCAAACTCGACGGGCTAAAACAAAGATTTATGCCCGCATAGAACATAGAAGGAGCAAGCAGCGGCGGAGTTCATTCGTGTACGTTGCAAACGTGCGGGGCGTTTCGTAACAACGAGGAAGCGTACACGTAAAAGAAGAGAAAAAAAGAACGTACGTCTAATCGAACACACAGTGTAACTAACACTGAAATCACGTACCTGATGTAGCTGGAGAGACTAAGAGATTCGATAAGTTGATTCGATGGTATGAAATCCTTATTTTTAGCAAATCCGCCCGTGGAATATCGTCTGTGGTTGAACGGATAAAAGAAAACAAACTCAAATGCGCATGCAAAACAATAAGTGGGGACGAATGCCACATTATTTTTCCCGCCGGAAGCGCGATGGCAGACATCTCGACCGTTATCGAATTACAATGACATTTCTTCTAAACTAAAAAAAACATCGAGATTTCGCGTATTATCCTCTTCTATGTTTGGACAAATGAAAAAAGCGATCGTGCTTCGCAGACTCGTCATCGCACCTCGGCAGGATCAAGACACAATGCACTGTGAAAGTACCGTTGTTCAGGTACAACAGGACAACGTGTGCATACGTATAATCGAATGTAATATCTCACACAGTCTTACCCGAAACTAAGTTTAAGACTAGATCCTAAGCTAGAGAGGCTGGACGTAACACTATCCTTATTCTGAGACCAAAGACTGCTTATTTCCAGTCTCTCCTTTTCTCTCTCCTGTTCCCCTTGCTGCGCCACGGAGTGAGGCATCGTCTCACTCCTCTGCAAATGCCCACCCATCGTCATGCCACTTTCATCTACCGCTTGATGAAAGGTCGCACTACGTGGGAGGATGTTGCTGCAAACATTTAGAGCGATTTCCGTGTTTGAAGTGTTCACGCACATCATGGGGATATTACGGAACGGATCGTCTTCGAGGATCGAAGATCGTTAAAGCATGATTAACGCGACAATCGACCTTCGCGTAAGGAAATACTTTCTCTCACGTGCAAGTACTCGTGATTACTCCGATCACCAGTAACAGCTTCCCATTAGGTGGTTGTTAATTACAATCTTGCATCTGTTCGCTTTTTCGTTTTTTTTTGCACTTTTGCGAAAATATCGATTTCTATAGACTTACCGAAAATTATTCTCTACGCTAGTCTATCTCTAAACGACATTGTTTCTCTCTCAACTAAGATATGTATCTCCGTAATTAAAGTTTCGCATGCAGATACGGTATATACGGTGAAGTGTCATACCTTCTGAATAAGAGCGGCCCTCCTGGTCTCTCTTCAGTCGTATTATTTAAAACGGTTAAAGTACTTGTTGAGCAATTCGAGTCATTCTCCTCGGAAGGTGACACAATCGGTGTTTCGTCATTAATGAGAGCACCCAATGGGTCATTTTCCGTGACTGGTGTGCGTATGGGACTTTTTAATGGTGATTCAACACTGCGCGTTAGCCTACATAGAAAATATTACATCTACATAAGCCTGTACATGCAAAAAATTAGCACTGTAGAATTCAATACGAGACGCAGATTGATTATTGCGCAGAGAGAAAGAGAGAGACAGAGAGAGGGAGAGAGAGATTCTCCGTGATATATAATACGATAATGGACGAAAAAAAAATAGTATCTACACGATGAATACTCGCTTGCATCGGCTACAGTAACACACTAGTGAAACAATAATGACTTGATCTAAAGAACAAGCGTTCTCAGCGACTTAGGCGAACTTGACGGGCTTGAGAGCGACACTAACTAATCCTAACAGTGAACATGGAGGATACCTTGGATTATTGGGCGCCGGATCCAATTCGTCCGTTTGCAACATGCTTAACGTAGCTTGATCTTTAACTATACTATTCTGCCGGAGAAGCTTAGCTTTCAATTCGAACGACCCGAATCCAGGTAGGTCAGACACAGAGCTGCCTTTAGTAGCTGCCGGAGAAGGGAGAAAGGGTGTTACATTTAAGAAAGAGTGATACAACAGCGCGATGTCGTGATGAAACTCGACTTACAATCACTGTGCGCCGCTTCGGTGTCCTGAGAGTGTGAACTATCAAGACTAGACCGGGAGAGCGCATGCTCCATACCATCAGTCTTATCAGCAGTCAGAAAATCTACGTTGGAGCTCAATCGCCTCCTGGCACTTTTCTTGCCGGCCTTCTTGAACAAGGCCGCACCAACGATGACGTTTCGCAACTTGTTCCACATCAGCTGACTCGAGTTCGTCATATCCGAAGGCCATGTTGCTTCGAGAACAGCCTGTGAACGAGAGATAGACATCACAATCTCTGATATAATCACATACAATGCTATGCGAGTCTGTGCCTCGCCAAAATTGAATTACTCATTGGTCTAGGAAACAAGAGAGCGCCCACCTTGTTGTAAAATCCGTACGTTAAAGCGTTAGGCTGAACACCGCTACGTTTCATATGGAATAGTAACTTTACAGCTAAAACCGGCTGTCCGTACACGCCGCAGAGTTGCATCATAGCTCTGTAGCACACCTGAAACAACAACAAACATTCGTTCAAACTCGTCGATTTTCTTCGTATATAGTAACTTGGAGTAATTTTCAACGGTGCCCAGTTCATACTTCTTCCATAGGGTCGAGACGTAACTTCTGCATTTTGACTAACAATTCGTAAGCCTGGTGCAAAATCGCAGCAGGCTGGCTAGAGACTTGCAACATAGCTGGCAAATGTAGAAACCAAAGACTATAACACGTGCCAAGTAGACATCTGCCCCATCTGTCGGGCATAGCAGCCTAAAGAAATGCAAGAACAAGAATTACATACACGGAATCGCTGGCTCGTACAAATATTTATACACTTTGTCGGACAGTAGTAAATCGTCTCGTCTACCTGTTTTCGGGCCATCCTTTGAGCAACTTTGATTTCATGTTTTGTTCTACGAGCCATAGGACTCCCAGGTACCATACCGAAGGCACTTAAAGATGGATTCTTCAAACAGAAGTTCTTCTGAGGCCTCATTAGATCAGGATTCAACTTGAAAGAATTGTATATTATTGGTGCTTCATTTGTCCCCGCTTCAGGTGGTGGTATAAATACTGTACGTTCACTATGTTGAGATTCATCCAGTTCCAAAAGAGTTACTAAGGAGCAAACAAGAAACGAGTAATTATTGCATGACGTATCATATGCATTATATCATATTCATATTTGGATACTCGAAACAACATAAATATTCCTCTTCATTTTCATTGTGCAAAAATAACGAATGGAATTCCAAAGAGATAGAAAGTAGAAAACAATGATTTGGAGGAAAAAATAATTTACCATGTAGAAAAATGTCTAACAATCCATACCATTCTCTTCCTCGACTCGTTCTGTACACTCGTCGAAAAATGCTAATCCTGCCATGTCCATATCGGATACGAAACTTCTCTCTTCTATGAATCTGTGAAATTGAAATATCCATTAGATAATGGATATGGGAGATTACAGGTTTGGGAGCGATTTAACTGTCAAGAATAGTGAAAAGAATGAGTTTCATTCTTGATGAGTTACATTTTTGATAAAATAAGTAAACAATGAATCAGTTTTAAAAGAAATTAATGAGTAAAAAGTGAGTCATTCAATCCTAAGTAAATTGTACGTTAAAAATTGTTCATCTATCACTCTTCTGCGAAATTAAAAATATTGACCTTATAATATGAAAGTCAACAAAACTTATTTTTCAGAAAAATGTGAAAGTAGATACAAACTAACTTACCTGATAAACATTTGAGTTCTGACAAGCATACTATAAAACTTCGCGTGAGCCTTATCGCGACTTCTCAAAAACGCTTGGATATTAAATAAACTCGTCGGATCCGTCGTCCCCACAGTAGGTGCCTTTGTAATTGGCAACAAGTAACTTCGGTATCCTTTGAGAATCGTCGCCATAAACCTCAGGAAAGCATCCTGTATCTCGAGTTCTAAAGCTTGCTCTTTTCGTTTCTGTTGAAACTCTCTGTCTACACTGAAATCCTCGTCCCCTCTGTCTAATGTTGCAACAAAAACAATTTTAATGCAATAAAAATAGAAACAAAAACAAAAAGACAAAAGGGAGAGACAGCAGGGGAGCAAATCGATATATAATAATCCACCTTTCTGGGAACAATTAGTCTTCCCCCACAGAATAATCTTCGAGGACAAAAGTTCCAGACAATTTCTCAATTGCCGAGCTGCCTTCTTAGGTAGCAATTTAACGTTCAAATATTTTTTGTCGTCGCATATTGCTATGTTATTCGTATCCAGATTTACGCAGTTGACGTCGGAAGGGAGCTCGAATAGATCGAAAAACCTTGAATCCACACCAATCAGGAACGGTAATGGCGCATGCAACACCTGTAATTTTCAACGTCAAAGCAGCCAGCCTTCCACTTTTTCTGCGCGCCATGCACGGCCATTAAAGAGCACAAAAACGAAAAAAAGGTGATGCGTCAGTCGCATCGGTATGCGTTACCTCCGCCAATCCCAGAGGACATAACGGTATATAAGGACACTGCCACTTAAAAGGAAACAGAATCATGGCGATAGCCTCGCTCACTGAAGTAAGTACATCCGGCCGCAGAGAATGGACCAGTATCTTCTGCTCGGTCAGTATCAGTAGCAGTATCAGCAGACAATTATCGGGTCCCAGATTTACCAGCAGTTGCCGGAAGCTCGCGCCTGATCTGGGCAAGGCCAGATCCTCCGGTTGCGTCAAGATAAGCCGATCCTGACTGCTGAGCTGCACCAAGATTCTCGGCCGTTGTGGACTCGGGAACGGTATGTCGCATAAAAAATATGAGATGTACTTCTCGATCGGGACGTTCTGCGGCTTGTCGTCGACCATTCCGTGCAGGAAAACCAAAAACCTCTCGAACGTGTCGAAAAACGGCCAGTGTGACAGTATGCATATGGATTTGCTGATGTTCAACGACTGGCTCGCGGGATCCGTGTACTGCAGCTTCTCGAACTGCGGTATCGTGAGCTTCTTGAGTATGCCGGACTTCTTGAACATTTTCATTTTTACCTGCGGCTTATTCTTAGTTATCTCTATGTTATCTGCTGAAATAAAACAGGGACATACGTCAGAGTAGAATTACCGAAGTAATACCGCGCTAAACGTGCGAAGAATTAGAGAAAAAAAAAAACGAACACTGAGGATCGTGAAAATTAGGATTATGAAATACATTTGTATACCACTGTTTTTATTGTTCTCGTCGGCCGTGTCCATGATCTCCTGATTGTCTTTGCAGTTCGGAATGTCCGATTCTAGTTGCAGCTCCTCGTAGAACGTTATTGCTGAGCCGTATATCTTTTGAGCAGCGTCGGCGACCGTCAATACAAACGTCGAGAATACTGGCTTAGGTTTACACGCTACTTTAGGCCAACATTCTATAGTCGCGCCCATCGGTAGACAAAACATGGCGACGGAATTCGGAAAGACGAAGCCATTGTAATCGGCCGTGGGATATTTGTAGAGTATTGCTGGCTTAAACGACACCAGGTTGGCGCGATTCATAGACTTCTTATAGCACAAAAACACATCACTGCCCAGCATTCCCTTGTTCAGGTTCTTATTGATCACGCAAAACGCATGAGGCGGGCTCTCCCCCTTGTTCGTCAGGATGACGCATATGTCCGTGACGACCAGGGAATTGCAAGGCATCTTTCGATTCGCTCGTCTGTACGTTACAAAAATTTTCGACGTTGAGTTATTCACGTTTGCCACGTGACCTTTAGGGGTTTCCAACACCATCTCGGCATCCTGCATTATACGTTCTTTCCCGTCGTATATTACACCTGGAAATTAAAACGTCGTTTAGATAACGTGATGGTGAGCCATCATTAATGACTTACGCTATTACAGCTCGAGTCTAATCGACGATTAACTCAACGGAATTGACCAATCGCATTGATCAATCAAGCTGAATTGATCCCGTTGAATTAATCATCGATTGGATTTAAACCGATGATGAAACGGGCGTTAGCCACAGTCTGAATTAAGACAATTGTATCATTGTTCATCGCTTAGTCGCTCCTCTCCTCTTACCAATATCAACTAAAGGAGGCTTGTCCCGTCCTCTCCTGTAGCACAAGTAACACTCATTTGTTCGTAAGCTCCCATGATTCAAGTCAGCCGGGAAACCCGACACAGTTTGTTCCAGCAGTGTGTACCCCTCTGGACAATGTTCTCCCAGTGCAGGGAATATTACGGCAAGATCCGTGATGGGAGGTGCAGTTTGCGTGTCTGCCTTGAGATGAGTACCCTCCTGGCACCAATCCTTCAGCTCGCCATTGCTCTCATTGTCGTTCTCATTGTCTTGACTGGGATAGTCATCTTGGCCAGGCAGACCAGCGATAACAAAATAATCTGCTACTCTTCTCTCGTCCATCTTTCTTGAGGATTACACAGATTAGAGTCCAGAACATCCAACAAGATCGTCTCCCGATCAAGCTCTCTTCCCGATGTATCTCATATCACGGATACAATGATATTATTCTTGATCGATACCCCTGATACTTCTGTACATGGCACTAAGCTGATTGTATCTGAAACTCCCACCTACAGCTGTGTGTGTGTATGTGTGTGGCACTCGATATAGCATGCGATCTTTCACGCGAGATTGACTGACACGTTATAAGTACTCTCTTGTTCAACAATTCAGCAACAGATCTGGTTTAGCTGACTTTCTCTCTACATAACGCCTTAAACATAATATTATTACATACGAAACATCATGATCCGCTGGTCCTTGCTTTACAGTTTTGCACAATCTTACAAAAATATCTCAGCTATCCGTTGGCGCGTGTCCACTGTGACGTTGGAGTATTCTTTCAGCGATGGCCTCACCGAATTATTGCTTGTTCCAGATCGCCGTGAAGTACGTCATGTAATCGCGCGACATGGGACAGTTTGAATTTCTATCGAATATAATCTTACACGATATGACGCATATCTGACTGCCACCGGATGCCAGACGACGAGGATGAGTGGGCTTTATCGTCGAATCGTTGATTATCGTCCTTACTCGGGAAGAGAGTCCCGTGTGCTTCTTGGCGCGTCGTGTGCGTCGTCGTGCATCGCCAACGGTGGTTCGTGGAATTCTGCAAGCAGCGAGTCGCGCGTTCGACTGTCCACGGAGAAGCTCGGTATGTATGTGTGTGTGTGTGTGTGTGTATGTGTGTATACGAGCGGGTGTCCGATCTTTCCTCGCGCTCGTCGCCGGCCTGACTTCGCTAATGTCTTCGGAGAAAAAAGACGATATTATTCATCACACGAAACCGTCACGCGGCCGCGTACCTCCGACACACACGGACGACAGGCGAACAGACGAGACGCATAATCGGCCCTCGACGGACTCACCGTTATTGCGACCCACCACCGAGGAGACCGCTTTCTCCCTCAGAACCAAGTCATAGGTTAGACGTCACACGCGCGACAGACAGTCACACAAGGGCGCTCTCGACGACGTCGTCGCACGTTGCATGGCCGGCGGGTTCGCGGGTTGTTCCGCGAGGTGTACGTAGCAGGTCGCGCGATACAAAGAGTACCCGAGCCGTCGGTCTCGCGCTCGCCGCCTACACCGATATTGCGTTGTTGTTTTGCCGTGTCGCAGAGCGCGTCGGAAAAATATTCGCGTGTAGTGTCAGATGGCCATAGTCGCCACAGGCGGCAAAATGGCCGATGACAGTGGCGCGGCGCGACCTCGAGCTCGGTTCAAGAACGTTCGCGCGCGTGATCGCGCGTCGATCCGAAATAAAAGCGCCGGACTGTGTCGGTCCGGCAGTCGGCCCGCCACCCACGACCACCCGTCGAACCCGTGACACTGTGTCTTCGTGCTCCTTTCTACACCCGCGTCGTTTTTCTCTTCTCGGAGGAAGCTGCAAACGCCGGACCGTTCGAACAGCGCGCGGAGGATCACACAAGTAGGTGCGAATGATAAATGAGTGCGAGGATCGAGTGTTTTTTTATCGCGAGCTCCCTTTGTTCAATCACCGATGCTGTGTATTAATAGCGTGTCCGAGATGATAGACAATGTCTATTGTACGAGCGATTATTCAACATTACTGTCATCTAACCATTCTATACTGTAAATGATGTTTTCAGAAATGATCTAATAATAAATTCTCAAAGATACTTTTTTTTTTTATAACCAGAGAAAGAACAATAGCAGATTTGGTGGTTCTTGGCTTATTTTATTCACAATTTTATATACAAAAGAGCTCAATGGATATCATACCTTCCTCATTTCTTGTATAAATCTCTAAACTTATTATTATGAACAATTTTCGTGCTTTTCTGATGAAATATTAGGTTTATATTCGGTGTTTTCCAGTGAGGAGATGCTATGCTATACTGTGATACATCGTGTGAAATACTTGTCCTTCTTCCCTTCTTTCAATAGATGGAATACTGGTTAAAATAACGCCGTTTAACTAAAATATTTGCTGGAGCGCAGCTTAGTTTATGCTTGTTGATGCGTTTTTAGTCGATCGGCATTTTAACGTAACCTAACATTAAGTTATTTGGCCATCAAAATAAATTTAGTTCAATTCTAATAATGTTGTGCTTACCAGGTGTATGGCTTTTTGCAACCACCAACTCAATCGGCATATTATAGAACAGCTTATCGACAGTCGGTAAATGAATTATTACACAATGATATTGATTTTGAAATTATAAATAACGGATTAGACTTTAGTATTTTTGGTAAAAATGACTTCTTTAATGTCATGATTATGAACCCTAATTTGTGCAACAAAAACAAGGCATTTCACGTTTGTTCTTTTTGTTGCACTCTGTACTTCACTCGAGCGGAGAGTGCAATATCAAAAAGAACAGACTCACAAGTGCAGTTACTACCGCCACTATCGGTTGTTACGCGTATTACTGCTCAAAAGTTCATCCAACAAGCAAACATGCAGACCGATAGCCAAGTTAGTCATATTTATATATATATATATATTTCTCCGAGAACTAGAGAAAGGTAGAAACTATTGTATCCTTCAATCGTTTTCACACTTCTTAATTATTTCGACATCGAATTCATCCAAGCCAACGAAGATGGATGAAAAACCGTGACGCAATCCGTCAATAACGGTTACACAATTTTCCACAGCTGTCATATGGTCTGTTTTCTATCACTGCAATGACTGCATTAGCTTGTACTGATTCTTTTTACCCTTCTTTCTTGAGATTTGATGGAAAAGAGAACTAGTGTAAGTTAATGCAGCCAATGCAACGATAGAAAATGGAGTTGTAAATCACGAAAGACCGAACTCAAGAAACCAGTCGGGCTTGTTGTTTTAGGTCCGAGTAAGCAGCTATAGGTTGCAGATAGCAAAATAGCCGTAACGAATATGAGTCGGCCGAAATTGAAGAGATCGCTGTCGGAAAGAGAGAGAGAGAGAGAGACGGGCGCACGTAGAAGCGGAAGAAACATGGACGCCGCGCGTCGTTCATATATGGTCCTATTCTCGGCCGGCGGACGGGCGCATGCGCGAGCAAAGTTTAAGCTCGCGCGAGTCGAGTGTGCCCGGACGGCGCCGAGGATAGCCGAGGCGCGACGTCTCCCGAACGCCTCGCGCGCACCGCGACATTCGCATTCGAGCGACCCGAGCGTGCGAAGGCTGCCGCTTTTCTCGGCGTTATCCGTTTCGTCGGCGCGCGTGTGGGTGTTACGTGCGCTCTCGCACGCGCGCGCGCGCATAGTAAAGAGAATCGGAGCCGAGTAGGCCGAAGCGCGGCAGTCGATCTCGCGCGCGCGGTTTTTCGTTGCACTTTCGCGCTGACGGTTATCGCGTGCAGCAGCGGCGGCGAAGGGATCGCTCGCGAAAAAGTCATGTTCGTCGAGCGTTGAACCGCAGCGTTGTCTCGAGGACGAGAACGAACGAGTGACGACCGTGTGTGCGTGCGCGACGCCGGATCTCTCTCTTTCTCTTATTCGGTGACTTTGTCGTCTGTTGCGTATCCGGTGAAAAAGAAGAGGCGAGATCGACCAACATGTACTCCGACGGGGGCCACGAAGTGGACGGCAGCTGGGTGCTGCGCGTCTACGTCACGGATCTGCAGGTCGAGAGAAGTTTACGCGTGAAGGGCGAGCTGCACATTGGCGGTGTCATGCTACGTCTCGTGGAGGATCTGGGTGAGTGGATATCTGTGTTTGTCAGCCTCTCGCGTCTTCCTTCCTCTCGCTCTTCCTCGCTCCGTTTCTATCCCACCTTCTTTTCGCCGCCATTTCTTCCCGTCTCTCTCTCTCTCTCTCTCCATCTGGGATCCCCAGCGCGCGTCTTCTGAGTGCGTGTTCTCGTTAGCACACGCGACCACTTGACCTTCGTCTCGCGAACGTTTACGTGGAACGGATCTCTCGGTATCCGGTATGCGCAGATCGTCGTATTATTTCGAGCTTCGTCGGATCGCGATAGGAAAATCGTCTACCGGCGGTGACGCGGGTTGTAATTTTTGAATTTTCGAACCGGCAAAATGGCGGCACGCCTCGCACGCTCAATTCGCGACCAAGTTTGTTTATAGACGCAGGCGGTGTCAAAATAGAGAAAACTGTCCGTTCGATTGTATTTGAAAGAGGACAATTGTGAAGTCTACGGGAGAAAAAGTCGCTTTCATGAGATAATATTTTATTCACTTAGAGGGACGCGAGTAAAGAGGTAAAACCGGGTGCGGAAATATGTATAAAAAGGAGCACGCGGAGTTTTTGCGAGAATACCCGAAGGGGAGGACGACGAAATGATTTCAGCCACCGGTCGATCCTCTTCGGGAGCGGCCAACACTAACGAGGCTGGCAACAACATCGATCGCCCTTGCCTGCATCGGCGTACCGTGGATAATCGGCCGAGCTGACGATGCAGGACGGTTCCAGCCTCGTCGAATTAGCCAATTTCGATCGATTAAACGAGCCGGTTCCCACATACACGTGCACACACATGCAGTCGAATAGATGGAAATTGAAACGAAATGGAGCGAGGCTCATCGCGGCAGCTCTATACTTCCGAGCGAAGATCGCGCAAATTCTACGTACATGTACCGATCGCTCGAACAATTTAAGGCCGCGAATTCGCGCTTCCTCGACGCAAACTGTTTCAATGTCGAAGCGGTGATAGGAGTTGCCAGTGATAAACAATTGAAGCGGCTCGCCCGTATCTTGCCCGTGTAAACAAAGCAACCGGAAAATCGTATCTGTGAGAATCGAATTTAGTTTGCAGGAGAGTCAAAAATTCTGTTTCTTTCAATCGAAATGTTTTTGACTCGCTCGTTATCAGATTAATCTAGCCAGACTTTTTTCTCCGTGTATGTGGCTTTAAATTGCATCAGCGGAGAAGAACAAAATCGAGATTTATGCGCATTTCCGGATGGTTTTCATTTCGTCGGAGTCGAATTATTTCATTATCCATTATGCTACACCACAAAGATTTTTGTGGGATAATTTTTCATCGACGGGAAAAAAAGCGCGTAACTCAGCGGAGCGTTTTTACTCGCGGGAATCACGGAGAGTAAAATTTCGAAAGAATTGTCTCGTCGACGTCTCGTTGCGAACTCGCTCGAAACTCGGTTCATTTTCGTGAGATATTTTTCGCGACGCAGTGACCGGGGATTTCCGAATAAACGAGTAACGAGGGAGCACTTCCGGTGAGGGGAGAATCCGAGCGCAGTGTTTATCTGACGGTCTCCGCGATAAGGGGAATAACTCGTGGTATCTCGAGCGTGAAGCCCCTCCCGCACGTGATAATGATAATTTCACGCGTGTGCCGATATGTTCTTGCTCTCGTCGGCTCGGCTATCCGGTCAGGTAGAGAATATTTTCAAAAGAAACGAAGGAGAACGTCTCTTTCTCTAACGCGCGTTTCTGCAGTCTTACAAAAGAAAAAGTAAGAACGCGAACAAACGACGCCGCTTCGCGATTCGGTCTCACTATATATCTGTAAGTAAAATATTTACCCGAATAACGCCCAAACTCTCTCTTCCTCGCGAGGATAGTCGTGACTCATGAATACATTATGACGTGAAGTAAGGAGTGCGAGTGCATTATTCAATCCCATTCCCGCGGATCCGCCACTCGAGGGATAAAATTACGGGCGGACGGTGCTGACCAAAAAAAAAGAAAAGAGTTTAAATAAAAATAAGAAAAGAAGGAAAGATATTTATTGTTCCCGTCGGTAAACGGCATGTCCTCGGTACGGAGACAAAATTGAACATGTAAACAAAATTGTAAGCAAAGCAAGATTAGCATTCTTAACATTCTCTATTCGCGTCGTGTTACATTCAAATAAATATTTGCTAAGGGGAATCGGAGCAATTATCACTTGGATTAAGTATCGCTTGAATGTAGCACGCGAAAGAGAAAAGTGCTACATTCAAGTAATGTTCATTTAATCCAAGTGAAATAATTACTCCAATACTCCTTAGCAAATATTTATTTGAACGTAACACTTTTCTTTCAGTGTAGACGCGAACGAGGAATATTTTTTGGTTCCGCGTATGAGAACACCCGAATAGACACGAAGTTTGTACAATATTTATGTGACAAACGCTTGAAAGGGCGCGATACTTTTCCCTTACACGTCGATGTCATATTGTTCGCCGGCTGCGTAACACAGAATAGGAGATTAAGTATAAAAGAGTATGGAACGCGCCTCTCGATCAATAATCGATCGAGTCGGGCGAGCGAGCTCCGCGTGAAATCGTGACGCGACGCGGCGCGAGGAGGCTAGGTAGAAAAATCCGGCAGCCATATCTTTTGTTGACTGGTCCTCTTTCCTTTTTTGCTCGCCGCACCGGCCCGAACAGGTTAGCGTGGTCGTACAGGTTCCCGTCGCATCGCCGACCACTCCGAACCGGACCGACGCGTATTACCTGCCCCATGCTGGAGTCTTATGTAAATACACCGGGTGTCCCGGAGCGCATGTAGAGCCGAAGAGCCAACCACGAAGAGACCGAGTAGAGTAGTTGAGTGCATTTCGATTGGATATCGTTGGTTGCAACGTCAGACGGTCATGCCACGTGACACAAACTCGCAAATTCGGCACCGAACGCTCTCGGCGGGGAATTATTCATTAAAAAGAAAGTGAAATATTTTGGCAGGCCAGTGAGAGTCAACGACGTAAGTTAATCGTTGGGAATAATTTATTTGTTTTCCACATCAAAAAAGTTTCATATTACGGAAGGAATTTTTATTAATTAAAAAGAAAGTGAGGTATCAACGAGGCAGTGACAGCCGACGACGCAGGTGATCGTCGGGAATAATTTATTTATTTTCGTCATTAAAGAAGCTTTACATTACGATAAAAATGATAAAAAAAGGCTTTGTAGATATTCAATCAAAAGAAATTATTAAAGGGCTAGTAAGTGCAAGATACACGAATGTTTGGATGTAAGTTTGTCGTGAATTATATACGTTATTTAAGGATTTTTATGTTTTTATTGCATCAAAATATTCGTGTATCGGCTCTTATTATTTTATCTTATTATATTATTGGTTTTATATTGCTTTTCAATATTCTAAAACGCGTTATCCTAGTTGTAGTTTTTTTTTTTTAATCTCTTTTTAATATTCATATTACCCTTTTTATTTTGATGTTAGAACATCAACAAGAAATAATATACAACTTCCTTGATGAGGCAAATAAGTGAATTATCGGCAACGATCAACGGCTGCGTCGGCTTTTATTGGTCTGTTTTTACTTTACCTACCGATATCGCCGGTACACTTGGTTTCACTACTGTTTGGACATTTTTTTCTAGATGCTGTTCGGAACACAGCCAATGTCTAATGAGAGATCTTAACTTCAGGGAATTAGTCAGAAACAAGTTCTATTGGACATTGGCTACGTTTCAAACTACATCGAGAAAAAAGTGTTCAAGCTGTATCAAATCAAGTGTACAAGGTCTGTTAATAAGCTCCGGGGCGAAGTGTTACAACGTTTTATTCGAGATCGTTTTATTGGAGATCTAAGAGAGTAGTAATTATCAATCCTCTAGATAAAAACTCGATCGCGAACGTCGCGTTTCTCTTTCGTTTCTACGAGGGAAAACTTACGTCGTATCGTTTGGTATCGATTAAGCCGATGTTATGTCTCGCGGTTATCGCGGAAGCCGGGCCAACGACGGCTCCGAGGATGATCGCGATGACCGTTCATTCTCTTCCCCGGGCGATTTATCGTTCGTTCTGACGCGTTTCACCCCATTCATTCTCCGCAATATGTCGTGTAAACACGTTACGCAAGCGCCATCGAAGCAGTTCGTTCGTGTTTTCGCGCAGTTACGCAACGCGCATTATCAGCCCGTTGCGAAATAGAAACCTCGCGCGTTTCGCGGCTCTTTTTATTCTTAATATACGTCTCGATGTTTTACCAGACGCACGACAAGTCACGTTCGTGCGCGCTCGAAGCTCCGTTTTGACGAAATTTTGACAAACGTGTCCGACGCGTCGTCGCCGATTAGATACGTGGCGTCGCGAGAACCACGAACGAGCGAGGAGAAAAAATGTTTACGCGACACGTACTCGTCGCGAGCCGGTGTACCGTACGTCACGTGGTGACTCGATGACAGGACTGCATTCTTTCTTGCAATGCTTCCACGAAGTCAATGAAGACCCGGCGACGCTCTCCTTTTCGTCAGCGCGAACTCCCGGTCTTGCGTCGTTCGAAATGTACGGCGCATATGCGCGTGGTCGTTTGCTCGACGAATGAAGGAATGCTCGAATTAAATGAAATTAAAAAATTCGGGCAGCTGTGAGACATGTGGAGAAGGGGGAAACACGTGGGTGTCGACTCCCAGGCGTTTAACTTCTTTCTCTCTCTCCCTCTTTCGCCGTCGTTGAAGTGACAAGCGAGCACGCGAAGGCTAAATCCGAAGGTCAGCTCGCTACGAAGCGCTCAAGTCGAATTATCCGCTCGGATTACCGTGTACAGCGTCGGATTACCGTAATTTTATATCGCACGCCCGGCTACCGCGCGAGACGGCTTTTCGCAACCCGGGGCGAGTAGTTTTTTTTTTTTTTTGACGGAAATGACGAGCGGTGCGAAACATTCATTCGTTCGTTAGCACTTTATGAATAACAACGTTCTCTCTTCGTAAAACAATCGACTTCATCCGTCTTCGCGAAGCTTTATCGCGCGTTAAAATATCTTT